CACGTGTACGAAAGTTAATAATTTTCTTTCACTGACAGAGAATATGAAAGTTAATAGTCGTTTATTAAAATTGAATAATTAAAATCTCTAAAAAAAAAAAAAAAAAGGAAAAATGATACCTAACGGTACGTACAATAACGGCGCGAATATACCTTAACAAAGTGGCTGCGAGATACTTTTTCCCACAAGCTAGACGCCTCGATCGAGCACTCATTTCACCAGGCAATGCCCGGGAAACGCGGTAAAATTCGATTTCGTCACGACGTACGCGCTCTAGCAGCGAGAGGGAAATTCTTCAACCATGAACACGACGATACAGAAGCTACAAGCGCAGCTCGCTGTCTCCCTTGTCTGATAGCAGGCGTGCTATTAATCGCATTAGTCGGACGGTAGGTCGCTTGAGTGGTAGATACCGCTACCTTCCTCCACAAAGGCATCGTACCTTTAGTCGCATTGCTCGAGACGCTACTTGCCAGACGCTGCTACCGTGTACACAGCCGGAAGACAGAAATTTTCTGTTCCCATCGAATCAAACGGGCCGTTCGAACCGCCACTGCAGTCATTCTAATTTCATTTCGTCGTCACGAAGATACGAGAACGAACCTACAGCTATATAATTCAAACGGTGTCTCACTGCAACTAGCTTAGGATTATTAAGTTACTTGCGCCCCTTGCCTCTGTGCTTTTGGAATTTTTGTTCCTAGACGCTTGCGACTAGGAAATTTGCATTTATTGTGAAAGACGCTTTAAAGTGGAAACAACCGTGCGGAGAAGACTATACAAAGATGGCAGAGAACTATGACGAATCTATCCTCGATGACTAGGAAGCTGTGTTTGAAAACAACACGATTTGCAAATCACAGGAAAGTGTATCTTTGTCAATTATTTTCGCTCTTTGAAAATAAGTGACTTAATTTTATTTGGGTTTTTTTTTTTTTAAATATTCAAGAGGCTGACAAAAACGTATGTTTCATCCAAAAATCAAACGTGAAATTGACAATATATTGACTTTTCGAATTGGTCTTGTATGAAAGGGAGGAAACGCGAATTATTATGTTTTCATCCGTGATTTTTACACACACACATATATATACTTTTATTTGCGAATTGTACATAAAAATCAAATGTTAAAAAGAATTTGCGTTTCGATGAACGTTGTTGGACGTGTCAAGATTGTATTGCATTTACACATTCACGATAATTTGTTTTAACAAACTTAGCTAATACGATGGAAAATGAAAAAAATAACTATATATATATGGTTCCTTTGTATGTACCGTACAAGCGTATATTTTGTTTACCTATTTAAGTCGACATTAATAGACATAATAGATACGGAAAACATATGTCATACTTTCAAATAAAATACGCTGGTAGAACGTTACGAAGTGTGTGCGTAATTTTCGAATTCTCATTAATTAAGAAATTTAACTTGACCGCTGGGAGACTTTGTAACAAGGAAAACGTGGCTTGAATTGAACGAGCTTGGGAAATGTTACGGCAGCGAAATAGGTTTTGGAACAGAAAATTTCAAAGCTGGGCAAGAGTGAAAAAGCCAAGGTGGCTGTCGCGAAAAGTGACTGTAATGGAATTTTTTCGCGTCTCCTTTGTTCATCAGCGTAAGAGCGTCGTGCACGATGTAAGTAAAATTCGCAATTAAGTTCAACTGCTTAAAAACCCTACTCTTCTATACGTTGAACCTTGACCGCGATTCCAGCACAGTACACTCTATACGAAGTGAAAACGAACCTCCGCCACCGTTTCCTCTGACGACCGAACGTCGTTTTACTGAATTTCAAAGTATACCGGAGAACGCTAATGATCCCTAGCAAACAATTTTGTTTACAAAAACGCTGCAGACAACGCGATGATAACGTGTACGCGTCGTCTACTACTTACTAATTAGAACGTCTTGGTAACCGTGATAAAATTGTAATTATCATGCGAGAGTAATTATCAACTAATGTTGATGGAAGATATATAGCGAAGCTGTTAAATCTATCAAATGTTTAAGTTTACACATCTTAAAAAGTCGAAACAATGATTTGGATCCTACAGTGGAGGATAATGAGCTAAGATTAGAATTGTAGGGTGTGTAGACGAAATTATGGATTACATCGTTACTGTTTTTTACGCGATATCATAATCAAATTTTATATTTCAATCCACCAATGATTTTTGCAGTCTACGATCCATGACTTCAGGTACCTGAAGAGATTCCATTCTATTTCTTCCAGCAAATGTACCAGGTATGTAATTGGACAGAAAATAAACAGCGACCAACGTAACGCAAAAAAAAAAAAGGGTTTGCGCGATCGTGAAAACAACAGCTGCCTGTAACTCGACGATTTATATCGGAATGCGTAATATACATGCAACGTGTTGTCGACCGGGAATCGGTTGAAAACTCTCTTAAAACACGCTAGAACGAACGACGGGGAATGAATCGGGGTGGACGGGTGTCATAAGCGAGGTCAAGTACCGATGACGCGTTCCCGTTGATATATTTTCGCCGCGGTCTTTCGCATAATCCCGTAAAAATATACAGAGAGCGAGTGGTGGTGAAGTGGTAGAGAGCGTCTTTCGAGTAGAAAAAGAAAGCGGCCGAGCGCGGTATAACTTGGCAAGGCAACGAACCTTCTCAACTATCCTCGTCCTCCTCCACCAACGTCACCACCACCTCTCGTGCCACGGCCTCCTCCTCCTCCTTCTCGTCTTTTCGTCGACTTAGCCGGTAGTTCTCTACCTACATATCTGCGCGAGTGGAAGAAAGACACCGCCATTTCTATAGGCATTCATCATTCACTCCTCGCTCAACGTTCCTCTCTTTCACCGTCTCTTTCTCTCTCCCTTATCCAAGCGCTGTCTCTCGCGTTCTCTCTCTCT